AATTTTTTTTATAAAAGATATATAATAAAAATTTTTATATTTAAAAAATTCTAATATCTAATAACTTAATTAAATAAAACAGAATTAAAAATTTTATTTTGAAAAAATAGTTTATTAATATTTATTTGATATATCAAAATTTTTATAACAGATCATATTAGCTAAAGAATTAAAATTAAAAAATAAATAAAATATATAATAAATTTTGAAAAAATTAATTAATAAAAAAGAAATAATTATTATACTTAAAAAAGTAAAATTAAATAATTATAAAGAAATTTTTTAATTATAAATACTTGATATTTAATTATAAAGAAATATGATTATAGAAAGATTTAATTATATTTATTATTAATATTTATATCAATCACAAATTAAATAACTTTTATATGTGATTTATTTATTAGAAGAATAATTTTTAATTATAATAATACAAATTTATCTTTATATTTATTAATATAAAATTAATTATATTTATTATTTATCATATTTATTCCAAACTAAGTATAAGTATTTGAGATATATTTTGAGTTTTAAATTAGAATTTTGTTTATTTTCAGTCATATTTTTTTAAATAATAAATATATAATACTTATAAAAAGTATTATTTGATTTATATATATATTTATTTTTTAAAAATATATTTATCAAGTTTTTGATAATAAATATTACTTTGTTAATATTATAAGTTTATTAAATTAAAAAATAATATTCATCTATATATAGCTTAATAAATTGAAAAAATAGAAGATTTTGACATATATAAATATTATAAATATTACTCAAATTATAAAAATACTTGAATATGATCCTATAATAATATGTTACTTTCTAAATAAATATAAATGAATAAATAATTATGAAAAGGATTTACTTATATATAAAATTGGTAAAAAATAATATGCATCACTATGTGAAATAGTTAATAATTTAGATCTTACTTGTAATTTATCAACTATTGCAAATATATTATATAATTTCAGACTTTATTCATATATTATAACAAAGAAATCTTATATCTCAGAAATATATACATATAATGGTGTGAAGAAAATAAAATAAATCAACTTATTGATGATTCAGTTACTGATTCTGATACTAATTAATAAAATATAATATGTGCTTATTTTGAATATGCTTATTCTTAAAAAATCTATATTTGAAAACTAAAGGCTATTTGTACTTATTTTCAAAGATGCTTATTTTAGGATAAATACAGTAATCAAAATAGCACTATTATAAATCTGACAAAAAATTAGTATAAATAAAATAAAATGATATCTTATTTGCTATTGTAAATGTTTATTTTGTCTTATAAATTATACGAGCTGATCAAAAATATAATGTCACATGTATTCATCCGACTCTATCCGATCCATTCGTACATGTTATGTCTCATGATTGGTACGTGTCCGTGTGACACGCCGCAATAAATCGGGTAATTCCTTAGTTTGTAGATTATACATGCTACTTTAAATAATTTATTATTTTCTAAAAGATCTATTAGCAAATACTGTATTATTATTAGTATTTAATTCATTGATTTTCAAAGAAAAAATTGTAATGAAGAAACATTTAAATTACCTTTGCTTCACCGGTGCAAAACTTTGAAAACCATAATAATCTTTGATAATTCATCTTTTGGTCCCTTTGTTTAACAGTTGTAACAATTATCTAGATTGATAAATTGCATTTTTTATCTAATATAGAGTAATGATTAGATAGTCTTGAAGATGAAATAAAGAGATTCTAATGCATGGAAAAGTATAATTATCTTTGTTCTTGATTATTCTCAGTTCTATCCAAACCTTGTCAACAAGTGATTTTATTCCTTTAACCTGCAAAGTGAATGTGAGTTTTTGTCTCATTAATGACTTTGATTTGTTATATTGAACTTTACCTTTGAACATTTCATTATTATTGAAATATCCTTAGTATATTCTATAATTTATTCGAATAGTTATTTTAGTAGTTAGTCGGATCACTGGAATCCAGTTATCCGATTCGTATGAAAAAGCCACTGTGAATCGAATGGATGAATTTAGATGCAAAGATAGATTATAAAATTGGGTATAGATATGCTACAAAGATATAATAACATAGAGAATCAGAATTTGTATTATCCTTTGTGGTGTGAAACTTTCAAATCATTTTATAGTAAATCAGGAGGGATGACCAGCATTGTAAATGATATCCCTTAAAATTATTTGATGATAATGCAAGATTTCATACTGTGTGATATGTTAAATTCGGTAATTAACATGACAAATACTTGTCTAAATATAAATTCATTCTTGTACAGCCAAAGATTTCATACTGTGTATGTACAAAGTTACACACATCAATCAAGTTTATATTTTATGATGCAATGTTGTATAGTACCAAATTTATTTCTAGGTTTCTCGAGATATCTGGTGAGAAAAGATCTAAATAATCTCGATGAGCTAAATATTAGTTTATAGCGTGAAGGATCCAGGTCCATAATTGTCAGATACATGTATAAACATAACAGATGCTATTAAGAATGGCTCGATTTAAAGGGTGTAACACAAAAGAATTGTATGTACTTCGTAGGAATCTTTTATCATTGCGGTATTGATGTCCAAGTTAACTGTTTAATGACATCACTAGTTATTAATAAGCTACTAAATTCAACAACGACGCATTTTCGCAAAATCAAATAAATTATAATTTCTTTCATTAATTCTATATTTGGTATTTCAAAATTTTTTAATAATATTTAGGTTATTGCTATCGTGACGGTCTCGGTACGATAAAAAGATTCTACAATGGATTGTAAACATACTTTCCGTAGCATTTCTTGGTATTAAAGCACATATTAAATCCAAATGACTTCATGTGATCCACATGAAGCTTTATTTGGACAAGAAAAGACCAAGATGGGTTCATTCATTGATCTTTTCTACAAGGTTCTTCAAACAACGATAAATTGGAAAACTTTTATTTTCACTCTCAGTAATTCACATAACTCATATTGAAGTATAACGTCTTTTGAAAAATTTATTCATATCTGCTATTGCCACATGTATATTATGTTTATATGTATCTGAATTGGGAATTACTACTTATTTGTACGAATATTCCCTTTTGCTAAATTCTAAACCAAGAAAATAATAACAAATCTCAACGGCATAATGAGCAAAATATAGATAACCACCAAGTTATGTTTTCAAATTTGGAGACTCATAATCTACTCGTTTATAATATGAATTATGCCTGTTACAGTTTAGAATTAGTCAATAAGATATAACAAATTACCTGTCCTTGGGAAAAATCTATTCTTCTGTTAATAAATATCACATTTGAGTACATATGATTGCTAATTTCTTCATTTTAGATTTAACGCATCTTTTCAGTTTCTAACAATATCTTCGCATAGAATCATAAATAATTTGAACTAAAAAAAAACCAGCTAAAAATATCGTATCCTTTGAATAGAGCACCAAAATGGTCTAGACAATTAGAGAAAATTCGGTGTATCGAGGAGATCTATTATGACTAGATCCTGGAGCCCAATTTTAATTCAACTAATGGTCAAATCGGTTTATCGAGAGTCAAGTATCAAAAATAAATTTATTTATCCTACTATACAATTACAAGTTGGTATTATAAGTGCAAGAATGCTCTTCAGAATATTGCTGTAATTCGTGGAGAAATAAAGTTATTTTTTTGATTTTGCTTTTTGCTCTTTGCTCTTTATTAAAACAATAGATTTTACCTAAAATATTGACATGCATGTGATAATGGTCATAGTGTGTTCAAAAATTAATGATATATATTTAAATACACTAATATCTATATACATTACACGTATCATGAATTTTCTTCAGGATATACAAGACCTAAATGATCTCAAGGAACTTCACACTATTTTTTATCATGTCAAAGATCCTTCAGATCAAACCTTAATAAATGTTATTGATGGATGGCTCAATTCCAAAGGAACAACATCAAATAATTTATTTTATTTGCTTAATAAATATAAAGCTGACGATGTAAATTATGCATGTATTCTCGGAGTCTTTTTTCATTATGGTATTGGTGTCCAAGTTAACCATTTGATGGCATTTACCTTCTATCAACACGCCGCAAAAAATAATAACGATGGGTTTGCGCAGAACCGAGTAACTGTTCATTCTTTCATCATTTTATATTTTATTTGTCATAATTAAATTTAATGATTATCTCTTTTTAGTTGGGTTATTGCTATCGTGATTGTATCGGCACGACAAAGAATTTGGATGAGGCTTTCAAATGGTTCAAAAAATCAGCAGAAGGAGGCCACATATGCGGAATGCGGACTTTGGCAGAGCATTATTATAATGGATTGGGTTGTAAGAAAGATTTTTGCCGTGCATTTTTTTGGTACTCAAAAGCGTATAATAATGACAACTCGAGATCAATTCAATCGATCTCCATTTGTCATGAAAAGGGCTATGGAACACCACGTGATCTGCATAAAGCATTATACTGGGCAAGAAAAGTTCAAGATGGTTTTACTAGTTGGTCGCTTTTGCAACGGTGGTTCAACTAATGATAAATTGTAAATTTATGTATTAAATTATTGAGTATACAATATATTTAGAAAAAATTTATGACTTTTATTTACGTCATATACATTATGTATACATCATTTCAATAACTTGGGATTAATCTTAATGTATCAGTATTTATTCGAAACTTTCTTTTGCTTGACTTTAAATTTATGTATTTTTTCAATGAAATGTTAAAAAAGGGCCTGGTACGAAAGCTCGAACAACACAAATCCCGAATGTTCATAAGAATAATCGACATTCCGAATGAACGGCATCCCGAATGATTGAAATCCCGAACGCACGAAACCCCGAAATCGTGATAATTCTAGCATTTTATGCGTTTTGGGATACATGCACATTGTACTATCGAGATTTCGATCTTTCGGGATTCCGTACCATTCGGGATGCCGCTCATTCGGGATGTCGATCATTCGGGATTTTGATATTTGGGATGCCGTTTATTCGAGATCGGGCTTATGAAAGTTCGGGATTGTGTTGTTCGGGATTTCAACCATTACTGGTTAAATTAGCTAAGCTATCTATATTAAGATACGAGCAAAATTTTAACAATTTCCATAAGTTTGCCTAGCATTACTTGAACATCGATATGACTACTATTCGTATTTTATAAAAATTACAGTATAACCGTAGAATGTCTCAGAAAACTAGAAAGTCTAATCCGACAACTTTTGGGAGCGGGCTGTGCTTTCTTGAAATATTTTTCCCGTGGTATCCGTGTACGTGATAGATGTATTAATTTTAATGCGCAAAATATTCGGCTTATCGTATCGTTGTGGTTACTATAGCTATTCAAGGAAGCAACTTCAGTTTAATTGGTGTTTCGCTTCACTAATCGATTATCGAGAGTCAATTGTAATTGTCATTTAAAAATAAAACTATTTATCCTCGCTATATACATGTAACTTCGAAACTTTATTGTTACTAATTTAAGAACAATATCTTTTGTCGCCAAACTCATACAAATAAAATTTCTTTTGTCCTCCCATACACAATATGAAATTTGCGCGAGCACTATCTTGTAACGCCAACTATTTTTAAAGCTTGAAGTTTTGATTTTCCTAAAGATAATGTCGTTCAAAGGGGATGCTTAGCTTATTTTCGAAGGTGTTATAAATAGACTAATACGAACGCTAAAGAATAATAATATAATTAACGAATAACATAATTAACGAGTAATTAACTAAACACCCATGACTTGACTGGAACTGGCTATTATTTCACTCGAGTTGTTTATATAAAGGATCAAAGTTCATTTATTACCGATAATCTCCAAAAAAATGAATTTTTTTGCTGACATTCAAGAACTAAACTTCCTTGAAGAACTACACTCCGTTTTTTATCGCGTCAAAGATCCTGGCACGTATTCGTCAGATAAAAACGTGATAAATGCTATTGATGAATGGCTCCATTCCAAGGGAATAACACGAGAAAGGTTATTTCATTTACTCTATAAACATAAAGCTGACGATGTAAATTATGCATGTATTCTCGGAGTCTTTTTTCATTATGGTATTGGTGTCCAAGTTAACCGTCAGATGGCATTTAACTTCTATCAACACGCTGCAAAAGATAATAACGACGCATTTGCGCAAAATCGAGTAACTGTTCATTCTTTCATCATTTTATGTTTTATTTGTCATAATTACATTTAATGATTATCTCTTTTTAGTTGGGTTATTGCTATCGGGATTGTATCGGCACGACAAGGAATTTGGATGAGGCTTTCAAATGGTTCAAAAAATCAGCAGAAGGAGGCCACATGTGCGGCATGCGGACTTTGGCAGAGCATTATTATGACGGGTTGGGTTGTGAGAAAAATTCTTGCCGTGCATTTTTTTGGTACTCAAAAGCGTATATTAATGGCAACCCAAGATCAATTCAATCGATCTCCATGTGTCATGAAAAGGGCCATGGAACTCCACGTGATCTGCATGAAGCATTATTCTGGGCAAGAAAAGATCAAGATGGTTTTACTAGTTGGTCGCTTTTGCAAAGGTGGTTCAATTAATGATAAATTTGTGAATTTTATTTTTCATCCCCTATCTATTGACACTCAATTCATATACAGTCACAACAACCCTATAAGAACATTCATTCTATATAAGAACACATAAAAAAAATAATTGAAGCTAGTTATATGAAAACACTAAAAACAAAGTTTAAAAGCATTTTTCATCATACTCCTTAAGAGATGTGACTGTGTATATGCATTAAGATATGTCGTTTTTTCAGATATGTTCTATTCTTCTTATCTAATATGCCACGTACACTAGAAAATATTGTATTATACATACTTATTTACCATGAAAAATTTATTTACCGTGAAAAATTTACAAAATTATTTTTTTGTTTTTTGAATTATTAAATATTAAGCGAAAATAAAAGATGATCTTAAGAAAAATTTTGGAGAACGATAATCGTTCATGAACTAGCAAAAGTTTTGGTTTCTAATACCAAATGAAAAGTATATAAAGTAATAATAAACAATCTTAGTTACTTTTGATTTTGAAGCCATTAACATCGAAAAAAATCATAAATTTAATATTTATAAGATGACACATTTGGCGGCTTTCTGCGCCAATAATTTCTCAAGTGGTTTCGAGGCATCCTCGTATCCATTCTTTAAAGCCTCCTGATACCAATGAATGGCTTGTTTCAGATTTTTCTCAGTTCCAAAGCCATATTCATAGCAGCAAGCGAGATTATATTGTCCGTAGATGCTACCCGCTTGTGCCGATTTATTATACCAGTAGAAAGAAATCACTAAATCTTGCGGTACACCGACGCCCTTTTGATATACGTATCCGAGAGCACATTGAGCATCAGCACCACCCTTTTTTGCCATACTGTGATGCAAATAGAACACTTTTTCTTGGTCGCGTGTTGTACCGCATCCGTATCGAGCGTTAACTTTGAGTCTTGTTTGTTCATCGTCAAGAGTTTGCGATTTTATCGTTCGTTTACTGTTTATCACGGATTGTGAATACCAATAGAATGCTTTTCGTTCATCTTTGGCGGTTCCACATCCTTTAAAGTAGCATAGACCAAGAGCAGATTGTGCGAAAACATTCCCACTCTCAGCTGACTTTGCAAACCACTCGAACGATTTCTCAAAATTTTGTTGAGTACCGCGTTCATAAAAATAGCATAATGCTAGCAGATATTGTCCTAGATCATCACCACCTTCCGCTGCTCTTTCATATGATTCGAAGGCTTGTTTTTCATTGAGGCTGGTTCCAAGTCCAATCTGGTCGCATATGCCCAGCAAAGCCAAGAATCGTGGCTTCTTTTGTAAGACAAACAATGAATCAAAAAGATTTTGAGGAGTTTGGCCGCATTTTTCGAGATATTTATAGATGTTAGCACCAACTTTGGTTAAGTCGTCAGTTTCGCTTAACGCATCAATTATGATTTGAGAAGTGGCTTCAGCTAGAGGATTCTCGAGTTCTTGTTTTTTCGTCGGCTGTTTGCTCTCAAGGTTGATGCCGCGTAGTGAATCTTTTTGCTTTTCGTTTAGTAGATCAACGTCTAATTTGTTGAGTAACCGTGAATGCCGACGTGATATTACAAAGTTTGTGGTGTTCTATTATCGAAATTTTGTTATTCAAGTTATTATTGGTTTCTTATTGTAAGCATTCATCTTATATTAATTATTCTTACCATATTTTTGGGAACCTTTTCTTTTTCTGCTACATATTGATTGAAATCATTGACTTGTCGTGCAATTTTCTCGTTGATAATCGATCTTTCTGCGAAATTGTTCTTAAGATATGATGGTATCAATCCCAAATCAGTGTTCTGCAGGAGTAGCAAACATTTACTTAACGCTGATAGGTCATAAAAAATTCAAGGTTAGTCTCTGGACACAAATAAGGATATCAACACGCGTGTATAAAAAAATTTTCGGACACACACCTGAAGTGACCACATAAAAGTTTACGATATTCGGATAACTATTAGATGGCTCTAAAATTTTAACCTGAAGCAATAAAAAAAAAAAAATCATAAATCACAATATGAAAAAAACAAAATATTTATAATGAGGGAGAATACAATAATATGTCACCTCTTTGATGATTTGCTTGATTGCTTCATCATTGGTTTTTTCCGTTAAATTTTTGAGTATTTTCATCACATGTTTATTATTGTTGTTGTTGTTATTCTTAATGTTGGTATTAGTATTTAATTTTAAGTCGTCGTTATTTTTATGTACAAGTAAAGTAGTAGTATTATTATTATTATTATTATTATTAATACTGCTAGTGTTGTTGTTATTTGTCGTAATTTTCGTAATTCGTGGGTTACTATCAATACGTGTATTTTTGTTGTGTTCGTAACTCTTTCGTTGTTGCTGCTGTTGTCTTTTTGAGATTTGTCGCCGTTGCTGTTTTTGCGAGTGGGTTTGCCCACCAATCATATTTGAGGTGGTAACAGGTCGTTGAGCTATTGCTGTAGACATTTTTGTGTTTAGGAGTGTATGCGTAAATTGAGCAGAGAAAAACACATATAAACGCGAATATAAACGCGAATGTGAGAAGAAAGAGATGAACGTAAATTATTATATTTTGTTTTTCAGAGTCTTGTGAGATCTATATATATAAATAATTTTCATTGTGTCTATATTATGCATGTATGGAGTGACAAGGTATAAAGCAATCGATGTGTGTTGAATGTAATAGACATAGAATAAACGCACAGATCTAATTTCCCTCGTTATTTTTATTGTAAATAAAGTATTGATCAGTAATATGTTACGTACGTATATCGTATATCATTATAAAGGTTTTATAAAGGTTATAGCATCCTTTTTAATCCATGAAATAAAGCTAATGCAATATGACGAAAATTGATGTCCGCCTACAAACTAGGACAACAAGTAAAACTCATCAAGTGTTTCGCATGCTAATAATCATTATTCTTGCATAAACCATTATGCGAACCGCATTAAATTAAAAATTTTAGCTATTGTTGCCCAATGAATGAAATCATAAAGCAGTTGTGTAGTGCATTCGGTTTCGCGCGTTCTAGAAATTGCAAAGAATTTTCAAAGGAAAAAAAAAAAAAAAAACACTGCAGACATATATTTTTTCTAGTTTTTTATTTGACGAAGTCTAGTACGAAAAAGGATAAATGTATAATCCGGGCTCGTTACACTATACAACGTGGAACAAAAATAAACGATGACACAAAGAGCTCGAACATGACTCAAAAACCAGGATATATTAAATTTGTGTTTGTTCAAAGAAAAAATCTGTTGGGGCGAGGAAACGAAAGCATGTCCCCCACGTTTCAACCGAATTCTATTGTTATCTATATAATAATAATGATAATAGATTTAATAGACCGTATACGTATACTGTATACATGTATATACGGAGGGAGATGTATAAATAGAACTAAATCAGGTTTGTAAATTCGGAGTAAATCTTTATACATGTAATCGGTGATTATCGTTATTGTTAAACTTAAATGGAAACTTTAATTATTCTTTCTATTCAAATATGTCCATTTTGAAATTACTTAAACCTTGTTTCATTCACTTTTTGTGACTCTATAATGAAAGAATGGTAAAGTATTTCATTTTAAGTCAACAATTACATACAATAGTGATGTTTTTTACAAAAAAGAAAAAGATATCGCGTTGTACACCCTTGAAATGCAACTTCTCATAAATTAACAAATCTTGTTTTTTTC